CTGTGGAAGCGTATTTCTTGCGGAACCTGAAAAAGAAGGTAGGTTAGCGTTGGAGTGTGACCGCAGAGCCTGAAGGACAACAGATTGAGGCCAGTCACGCACGGCATTTTTATGAAGGTTTTTAGAGTCATCAGGGGGGGGGGGGAATGTCGAAACAGAAGATTCCACACTTGCGTAATAATTTTGCTTCAAGGATTTCTGTAGATGAGTAGTCATCAATGACTTCATCGTGTGCGCCGTTTGGAGCAAATGGTGATGGACTGACGATTCATCCTCCTCATAATGTGGAGAGTATATCCTGAATAGGATGGGACCAGCTTCTGAACGAGCCATACGCGTTTATTTGGTTAATTGGATGAATTTTATACGACCTTTAGGTCATGCTATGATAGACCGAAGGAATCAAGAAACTAATCGACAAACCTGACGAGAAGGTAGAATAACTTGGTGAGCTTGAGGGGTTATGTACATGTCGGAGGTCTGGTAGGCGTATTCCCGTAAGTTCGAATCGTTCTTTTAGTGTGGATTATGTTATAGGTTGAATTATGACCATAATGGCTTTGCTTGGATGTAGGGATTTTGCGTAGCGGTAGTGAGTCCATTTTGGAAGGCTTTGTTTGTGGAAATACCTCCATGTACACATCTGCAATCTGTTTTTATCGATTCTTTCAGTTCAGCATTTCGGTAATATGTTTAATTCCACTTTGACATATTAATACTTGCATTTTATTCTAGTTGCTATTTTTGTGCCTTTTTCGAGTTTCGATGTTTCTTTCCGAACAGCATGACGCTGTTTAAATTGATACTTAATTATGGTGACAACCATATTGGTTTTGTCCCTTTGGCGGTTGAAACCTTGACACAGACTGCAAGTGTGCAATTTGGATTGAAAATTGGAGCATTCTTCCAGAATTGGAAACACAGTGTGTTATTACTGAAGGAGTAACAGTTGTAATATTATTCAGAACCGTTACTTACCCAGATCACTCGTTTTGGATTTAAACTGGGCAAGACGCGTATCTAAACTTCCTGAGCAGCTATTCTTAAATCCAAACCTCTGTTTGGATTCAACAGCCATATCAGACAAAGACCTGAAACCTCATATCTAAGATTTAACAGACAGATTATCATGTATGAAGGTATTCACGAAAATGTAGTAGATAGCGAGTAACTCACGTCCAAAGGTGCTATATCGTTCTTGCGTCTGTGACAATCATTTAGAAAAGAACGCTATGGGCTTAATGACGTCGTTTACTTGTTACTGTAGCACTGCCCCGACAGCTTTCCGAGATGCATCTGTGCATAAAATTAGGCTGGTCATGGGGTCAGTATTTAGGTGCTGTAACATAGTAGCATTGGATATGAGAGACTTCGCTTTCTCAAATGCAGTCTTAGCAGCAGTCGGTAAGTTGAATATATCATTATTAGCTTTCTTCGTCTCATTTTTATCGGGCTTTCAACAGATCAGTTAAAGGTTGTAAAGTTTCTGCGCAGTTGGGTAGGTATCGTCGATAGAAATTACACATTCCAAGAAATCGGCGTGATGACTTTAATGAGTTAGGTTCAGGACAGTTGATGATTGCTTCAGCTTTCTCCTGTAGTGGTTTTATGCCTTGTGAGTCTATGTAATGTCCTAGAAACTCCAAGGCAGCAGCACCGAAAATGTACCTGGAGGGGTTAATGACGACGCCGTACATTTGGAAACGATCGAAAAGAGTTTGTAGATGCTGGACATGTTCTTTGATCGATGCGCTAGCTATAAGAATGTCATCTATGTAGACGAAAACGAAGTCGAGACCTCTGGTCACTTCATCCATAAAGCATTGAAACGTTTGGGCTGCATTTTTTAACCCGAATGGAATTCTCAAGAACTCGAACAAACCAAAAGGAGTGATAATGGCTGTTTTTTCGATATCTTCTGGTGCCACCGGGATTCGGTGATATGCTCTTACAAGGTCAAGTTTTGAAAAGAAATGTTTTCCATGTAGGTTAAGTGAAAAGTCATGAAGATGAGGAATTGGGTATCTGTCTGGTGTCGTTTGATTATTCAAACGTCGATAATCACCACATGGGCGCCAGTCCTGATCTTTCTTTGGAACCATGTGTAGTGGTGAAGCCCATGGGCTGTTTGATTGGCGGATGATACCCAGCTGCATCATGTGCTCAAATTCATTTTTGGCAATTCGATGTTTGTGTGGGGGTAGTCTCCTTGGTTTGGCGCAGACCGGTGGACCAGTAGTAGTAATGTGATGCAGTACGTGATGTACAGTGCCTTCCGTCCGATAGTCAATCTTGGTGATGCTATCGTATTTAGCTAAGATATTGGCGAAAGTTTCACTAATGGGCTTAATTATACGTACTCCATGGATTTCGTAGACGTTGTTAGTTATGCCGTTCATATGTAGACGTGTCTAGTTGTCGACTAGTCGTATGGCACGCACGTCTACTAGCAGATCATATGCAGCCAGGAAATCTGCTCCGAATATCGGCTGTTTGGTTTTAGCTACTACGAAAACCCACGTGAAACGCAGTCTAAGACCAAGGTCAATTAATAGAGACTGTTCTCTATAAGTTTTGATGAACATTTCGTTTGCTGCCTGTGGTGTTACCTTACTATTATTGGTGTGTTGCAGTCGCGAACAATTGAGAACATGAGACGTGCGTATAAACTGTATTTGATAGGATCAGGAAGTGAGTGCCGTGCTATGTGTACACAGAACGGAAACGTGGAGCAGTTGTAGCGCCTGATATATTCAAGGACACACGCTAAAACAAAATGTACAACAATTTCATAGTGAATGTACAGACTGTGAAAATTAACAGAATAAATACAAATAGTATCAAAAACTATTTACAAAATAGGTTTGTCATTCCATCTCCACAGTATCGTCTGAGGCCTGTCAGAGAATACATGCAGACTATTGTGGCCCGGTTTCTTGGCAAATACTATGCGCTTGTAGTCACTGATTCTTTTTCAAAGTGGCCTGAAGTTTCTTTCACAACTTCACCAAATTCTGACTTCTTAATTCAAGCATTAAGAAAGATGTTTAGTCGAGAAGGGCTTCCAATGGAGTTAGTGACTGATATCGGCTCTCATTTTGCTGCAGATGCAGTCACTACCTGGTTAAATGGTATTTGGTGCAAACATCTGGTTACTGCTCCCAGACATCCTTGTTCCAATAGTCAGGCAGAAAATTTTGTCAGGACGTTGAAAACTGCTATTGATTCTATTGCCGCTCAACATTTAATGAGCTGGAGAGGGGAGTAGATACCTTTCTACTGCAATATAGAAATGCCAGACATTCGGTGACGAAAGAGACTCCATCAAAGCTATTAAAAGGAAGAATTCTTCGATAGGATATGAGATGTTTGGAGTCTGCAGAAGTTACATTTTATCGTGGCAATGATCTTCGACCATCCACGGGGATCGTTCTGAAGAATGTCGGGAAATCTATGGTGCGACTTCTAGATATCAATGATTTAAGTACACACAATCGACATGTTGATCAAATACAATTCCAGGAACCAGGTGAGTCTGTTCCAATTTCGGTTGTTCATTCTAATACTAATGAGAGCATTCTAGATAATACAGAGTCTTTATCCAATACACGGTCGGACAGACACAGGATGAATTTGAGAAGAAGACGTACAATTGATTGCAGACACTTGGATTCGAATTTAAGTGGATGTGGTGTTTGAATGAACTAGTGACTTGTTGTTGTTGAATGCTTGATTTCGAATTCTAAATACAGTACATTCGTTCGTGCTCATCTAGTAGTTCTTGATTCACTTACGTTGTTTCTTGGATTATTAGTTAATACAACAATTCAGATACTTCTAATTATCATAGTTACTTTAAGATTGTCTGCATATAACATCGCAACTATCAGTTGTATAGTCTGAGAAGATCAGTGGACCCAGGAGAATACCTTCCAATTATATAGAGCGCTATTTTCATCGATTTTAGTGTTGTGTTTGGGCGAATACGTTCGACTTTTGTTGAAATTCGTTTTGTTACGTGGTTTGTGTTGAGGCGAATAGTTGAGATTTAATTCTACTACTCATCGATATCTTCAAGTGCAAACAAGAGCTTTAGAATTGTTGGAGTATTGCACTGAGGCTTGGTGCTCTCAGTTGCGATGATTAAAGACTAAATTGAAGGATTCAAGGTGAGAGGTTATACAAGATCGAGTTTTAAGGAAGCTATGTCCTAAACGGGTGATAAGTTTTTCAGTGCATTCACAGTTGGAAAGTTCATCAAATACTTCGATTATTCTAAGGATAACTGTAATAACGTTCGTGGACTGATAATTATCATAACCAGTTTTATCCGCAGATTTGTAACGTGGTATGGTGTACAATAATGCACTTTTTCCATAGAGAGAGAGAGTGAACAGCTTCAGAAGCGGCAGTAGGATATCAGATTAACCATATTGCAGAGAATAGATGGAATCTCGTCTACTTCAAGACTGTTTGAAACCTTATGAAGGGTAATTGCTGTACCAATTTTTAAATAAATGAAAAAAGCAGATTGCGTGTAGTTACTAGTCGCAAACAAACTCAAAAGCAATTCATAAACTTAAATGACTGCCAAACACAAACATTCAATCCCTTTTAGTCTACATTTATAATTCTACACATTTGCGTACGTGCATGCATATTATAAACATCGCACCTCATTGCCCTTCATGCAAGTATAACAGAACGATAAACACATGATTATTCTTCTTCTGCTAACCACAGAAGGCCACATCTTTCCGACCACGCCCTGACATCCTGAGTTTCTCTAATGTTGTTAACTTGAATCTTCTACTCTAAACTTTCAGTTACTATTTGAGGTGGAAAGATAAATTACTAAATGTGAGGATGTCACTCAAAGTTTGTCGATCAAAAAGAAACTAAAACCATTATGAAATAAAGTGATTTCTTTCTAATTAATGTTTTATCGGTTAGAACAACCTAATACTCCTGAATAACTCGAATTTGAACGGTTTGCTTTCCTAAATAATTATCAATGGTCCTTTTGTTTCACTACATTCTACATTCATTTGATCTTTTTCTGTTTCATCATGTTCATTCTCCAGGTCTGTCAAGAAATAACACATGTTCTCTGTGATTTCTATCAGTCATATTTTAGTTCTTTAGGTCAGATGCATTTATCATTGTTTTTAGGTCATTTTTAAAGGCTAATCTTACAACTTATCTATCTAGCACACAGTTTGCTTAATGCTGAATCCGCATTTTTTTCACGCACTGATAATATCCGTCTTATTTATATTGAATGTGCTTCAAAATCACACTCTTGAAAACAATTGCCTATTCGGAAATTCTTACATGTTATTTGGGTAGTGTTTTCTGCATTGAAAATCTGTGTAATATGTTAAATTTTTATTAACTAAAATGAATTTTCTTTCGAGTCTTTCGATGCGTCGTGCTGCTAGCGCAACAACCATTATTTCTTATTTATTTGTGTGTATATATAATTTGACCTGTTTCTCATTTTTGAATTCTATTCTCGTGAATTTTTTCGCCGGTTAATGAAATGAAACTTACTTATTTAAATTCTTGTACCAAAGGTAAAGCGATTTGTTAACACCTAAAGTCTGTCTGTCTAATAAGTCAGTCATTGACAAAATAAGGATGTACATAAATAGACACATCTGTATTCTTTAGTATTCGAAACATATAATTGTACAATTATTTTATTTCTTTAAACATGTCTTGCAAACTTTGTCTTGAGGTTTGCATATACGATCAGATGCACAGCTCTCTCGTTTATACGATTGAAAAATCACCGGTAAAACTTCTGTTCTTCTATTAACTACGAGTTTTACCCTTTCAAGGCAGTGTTGCTGATAGTGAGGAGAAAATCCAGTCACTTTGTGAGTAGTGCGCAAATGAAATATGATCAGTTTTATGGATGAGTTGATAAACTGGTCCTGTATTTTGAAATATTGACATGGATTCTGTAGTTGATAATCCACTACAACACAACTCTAATCACTTTGTTAGATTGAAAATGTATAGAAAAACAAGACACTATGGAAACATGATTTTAACAATTGAATGTAACAAAATTATGACATTACGTTTTAGAAAATATCTAGCGAAACTTGTCAGTAGGAATGTATTTGTACACTTATGCTAACAAAGTAATAATTATTTGTACTGAAGTGGTGAAATGAACTCAAACGTTCATATAGGAGGACAACCATCTGGATACTGAAGGCTGAAGGTGATGTCAAACATTTTGGAATACAAAACTGAGTGTGCTGCACTTGCGCATTCCATCGGATGCGTGATGGATGAACAAAATTCTAAAATCGAGCCGTCATACATAGAAATATCAAAGAATCGAATAATTACATTGATGATCACAGGTAACGTAAAATAACAGAAAAGACAGAAGAAAAATAACCGCATAAAATTTGATTTGGGGTTGATAGTCAGACGCAACAACATATTGGATAATCTATGTTTTGTATGGCCTATCAGGCTATTGGTTGCACAATTACATTGTGACGACTGGATGCACTTTGCATTTTCAAAACTTGGCATGTAGAAAAGCCTGTTTAAATCGAAAAATTCAAATACGCTGATAGATTTGACATTACTAATGCAATCGGATATATAAGAATAATTGGAACTAATGTTAAACGGCTATTGTTTGAAGTCGTGGAACTTACCTTCGCTTTCACAGTTCGTCCCTGTGTTTTTTGAGTCCAGTAAGCATTAGATAAGTACGCGCTCGTACTGGGGCACGGTCCAAGCCTAGATATACACTCCAGAATGAGCAGGAGTTTCCCATCGAGACATTTCATCGGTCGTTGATAACAATGTGGTTTATTCGAGTCCAGCATAGAGTCGATTGTGGAGTTCGCCATATAAAAAGATGTTTATCCTTTTGCTTAACGTTGAATTTCAGTGGTAGACCTTATGTCAGAAGGATCGCTTACTGACCTAGAATATGCTGATGACATAGTTCTATTTAGTGAAGACGCTGACAAGATTCAGTCTTCTGACTACCCTGAGCAACTATGCAAGCATGTTCGGGATGCGGTTCTCACCCTTGAAATGCAAAATGTTGCTTCAAAATTGGGGACCCGAACTAGTAATAGGGAGTGAAGTAGTTGAGCGTGTCAACTGCTTCACTTATCTCGGAAGTCTCACCAGTACTGACGGCCTAGTGACGGACGAAATCGCAGCTTGGATAAAGAAAGCTCGATTGGCTTTTGCCAACTAGCGTCATCTATAGCGAAGGCGAGATATCCGTTTGCTAACTAAAGGAATGTCTTAGAAGCATTGCTCGTGTATCCTGAGATAACTGCGTAAGCAATCTCATTGTTAGGTAAGGAGGGCAGTAATAAAAACTATTCATACTTTTGTCATCCATCAACTCGACCGTAGCTGCTACCTTAAGGTGCTGGTCGGGCTTACCTATCATGATGACCCAACCGAGCTATATTGGCTGGAGCATATGCTCCTGAAGGTTCTGCGATGCCAGGCAGGTCGATTGGAGAACGCTGAGACTTAAAGCACTTACTCAAGGTCTGATGGCCAAGTCGTACTGCTGACTGCAGAGGGGTGTGACAGCAGTAAAAATGCCGTGCGTGACCGGCCTCAATCTGTTGTCCTTCAGGCTCTGCGGTCACACTCCAACGCTAACCTACCTTCTTTTTCAGGTTCCTCAAGAAATACGCTTCCACAGTGTGGGCAACCGGGAAGTAACATCCGCCCTCATACCCATAAAAGCACACGAGACCAAATCGACCGCACGAAACATTATTCCTGGTCCCCTGAAACCCCGTACAAAATTACACATTGGAGCTTTTAATGTTCGAACCTTGTGCCAAATAGGTCAACACGCTTCATTAACTAGAACCCTGGAACCCCATTCCATCAGTGTATGTTGCGTCTCCGAAGCGCGCGTACAAGATCCGAGTAAAATCATCAATTTGATTTCAACTAGTGCAGATACAGAAACGACACGATTTACGCTTCGTGTTTGTGGAGGCCCTAATGTTTCTCCCTGTGGTTTAAATATAGTATTGAGTTGTCGGGCAGAACTAGCTCTCTTAGACTGGATCCCGGTAGACAGTCGGCTGAACGGGACGGTACTGACTCGTAAAGAAAGGGAAATTCGCCGGTGCCTCTTCGTCGTATCTGCCTACGCTCCCACTGACTGCAGCTAAGACGAAGTGAAAGATGAGTTTTACAGAAAGCTGGAGGACCTCCTCCAAAACGTTAGGCGCTCTGATATAGTAAAAATGGCTGGAGACTTCAGTGCTCAAGTAGGTATATTAGGTGAAAAGGAAAGACACCTAGGTGGATCTTATGGTGTCGCCGCTAATCAAACAGATGATGGCGACCGTCTGTTGCAACTATGCTCAGATAACCGCCTATTCCTAACAAACACTACCTTTAGATATAAGGGAAAGCACCTCTGGACATGGCGACCCTCGAGGTCGTCACAACGCTGGACCCAACTAGATCACATTGCCATCAGCCACCGATGGAGGGGTTCGATAGAGGACTTTCGCTCGTTCTGGGACAGATGTTTAGATTCAGATCATGCTCTAGTGCGAGCGCGTATTTGTTCGCGCCTTACTGGACGCAAGGAAACCTGTTACGGCTCCATTTACTGATAAAAAAGCTAAGAATATATTTCAGGAACCACTAGAACAACAGTTAGGCAGACATGTACTAAGTGATGCCCACCCTGAGGCAGCTTGAAGTGATATCCAAAAAGCAGTTGATACAGCAGTGATATCTTCTCGTAAGGTAAACCATAAGGTTAGGGTGAGTCCGTGGATCTAAGTAGCATCTAGCGAACTGATAGATGCTCGAAAACTCATCCCGCCTGGCTCTGAGTACGATGAGGCGTGGAGTCAGCTCAGGCACAGGCTGATAAAAAGCTTTTGAATTGATCGAGAACAATGGTGGGTAGCAAAGGAGATGGAAAAGGCGACGGAGATAACTAACAGTAGGCAACTATTCAGACTCATCAAGGAAACCAGTATTAGGAACCCGGATGTTAGTGAAACTATCTTGGAGAACGATGAGACTATTATTCATTATCAATCCGCGAGATTGAATCGACTGGCAGAACACTTCAGCCACACTTCGGTTGCTCGCGATCCCCAGTCATCCTGAATGGCAAATCGATAAAAGTCCTCCTAGTCTTCATGAAGTTGAGGAAGCGATAGGAAATCTGAGGAAGGGGTGAGCAGCGAGTGCTGATAGATTGACCCCTGAGATTTGGTGGTCCTGTTTTAGCAGCTAGATCTTTGGTGGAATTGGGGAACTGGACGTAATTCCATCCGACTGGTCTCAATAGTTGATTGCCGCAATTTATAAGGACAAAAGTCCTCTTGTGACAATCACAGGGAAATAAGTCCAACTAATATAGTTTCTAAATTTTTAGCCTCGATAATCCTTAGACGCCTAACTAGAGCTCGTGAAGAGCAGACTAGAGAAAACCAGGCTGGTTTCAGACCCGGACGTTGCTGTATTGACAGACCATCTCTCCACACTACGACAGGTCTCGTAACAAAGACATAAACCTAGGCGTCCAACAATAGTTGTCTTCTTGGACCTTGAGGTGGCATCTGACTCTGTGGACCGTGAGGTTCTGTGACAGTGTGTCATTAAAAGGTGTTCTAAAAGTAGTTCAATAACCTCGTACAAGCTCTCCACTAGAACACTAAAGGTCGAGTGAGAGCCTATGGAGAACTGTCATTGAAATTCTCTACTTCAAGTGGTGTCGGTCAGGGAGGTCTACTCTCTCATTTCTTGTTTAACTTTGTCGCAGACATCCTTTTAGAGTGAGCACTATGCTCGTCAGATTTCTCAGTGGTAGACCTGTCAGGAGGATCGCTTACTGACCTAGAATATGCTGATGACATAGTTCTATTTAGTGAAGACGCTGACAAGAGTCAGTCTTCTGACTACCCTGAGCAACTATGCAAGCATGTTCGGGATGCGGTTCTCACCCTTGAAATGCAAAATGTTGCTTCAAAATTGGGGACCCGAACTAGTAATAGGGAGTGAAGTAGTTGAGCGTGTCAACGGCTTCACTTATCTCGGAAGTCTCACCAGTACTGACGGCCTAGTGACGGACAAAATCGCAGCTTGGATAAAGAAAGCTCGATTGGCTTTTGCCAACTAGCGTCATCTATAGCGAAGGCGAGATATCCGTTTGCTAACTAAAGGAATGTCTTAGAAGCATTGCTCGTGTATTCTGAGATAACCGCGTAAGCAATCCTGTTGTTAGGAAACGGGTACTAGGTAAGGATGGCAGGTTAATAGATGGAGTATTGAAATCTCATCAGTTGAGGTGGTTGGGACATGTGTTTCGTATCCCTAACACCGACTGCATCAATGAGATATGTTTTGCGATAGAGGAACAGCTTGGACAAAAGCTAGGGGCGGCCAAACCATAACACGGCAGAAATCCATGAAGTCACTGACAAGTGGACTGAGTCATGTTGATAGGATTCGACTACCTGTTTGGGTTCCGCGAGATGATAATAATCGATGGTTAGGGACCCTAAGTGACATGGCTCAAAATCGTTTGCAGTGGCGTAGGTGCATACATTCTTTGTGTTCTATGAAATTCTAACCTGAATTCCTCATCAACTCTATCTCTGTCTTTCTAAATTTACCTAACTGAATCATACTTCTTGAATTACATCTTCGAACCCTAATCTCTCTGATTACTGCTAATACTTTTACTACCTCTACTACTATGGCATTTGAATTGACAATCATATCTCTGTGCTAATGTAGTATGGCAACTTGAACTGATGTATTTACGTGCGAAGTTCTACGCTGCTGTTGGTGATTATGATTTTCATCGGTGGTTGATGACAATGTGGTTTATTTGAGTCCAGCATCGATTCGATTGTGGAGTTCGCCATATCAAAAGATGTTTATCCTTGCGCTTAACGTTGGTGTTTGCCAGAAACAGGCAGTTGTCCGTGCGTAGTCGCCACAATCTGTTTGGTGAGCCGTGACACCATGAGAGACTCCTGGGTGTCGTCCGGTTTCATCTAGTCTGCCTACGTGAGTATTAGAATCACCAGCCGCTATTACTACATCAGAGCGCTTCGTCCTTTGAGCAAGGTTGGGAAGCTTGCAGCAAAATTAATCTCCTACCTCAACGAAGCCGCAATCGGTGGGACCGTGGGCAGAGACAACAAAGAGGCATTGGCGAGCGTCCCAATCTTCCCGACTTCTCACCGTCCCGTTTGGTTGAACAGATTGTTGATAGATTGACTGTGATAAATGGCTTAGGGATGTATTGGTGGTGAAAAAATTGATTAACTATTTGGGACACAAAGAACTCAACATTCACGTTTTACACTCACTTATTATTTTCCAAACTTTCATTTTCTTGATTAACCTTACGAAAGTTAGTCCCATTCAACTGGCTTTTTATAGTAACTGATGGAAATAAAGACAGGTCAATACTTTCCTTCTTCTCATGCTTCATTTCGCCGTTGACGGTACTTCTTTTCTTTTCATACTTTCCTTTATTACCAATAATAAATGGGTAGGAAATTAATTCCAGTGATTTACAAGTAATTTAATGGCTTTTAAATTGTGTTTGTAATCCATATTTTGAGAACCCTACAAACTTGACAACTTACGGATGGAAATCGAGAAACGGATTGTCGAAAACTTATGATTTGTCCTATGGAATGTTTAGTCGAACTTTCAGTGCATCTATTATTGGCAAGTTAGTTCGTTGGCGTTTTATCCCTACGTTGCATAAAATCAGATGAATAGGTTACTGCCTACTCCTCATTGGGAAGATATATGCAGCAAGCTCCACTGAATTGCTGAATAAACGCTACGAAATATGGAACTATTGTAAGTAGGAACCACGTGGTTAGAACAAGGGTATTCGAAAATCTCAGGGTGATAAGTATTCCGTGAAATGGGAATCGAATCACACAACAATCTTATGAAATAATGTCACCTAGTGTTAGTACAGAAATGTTTTTCAAAACTCTCATCTTTATACCAAAAGGATGCTTATAAGACTGGAAAGATTGATTCCTTCTACTAAAAGAAGAAATAAAGAAATACCACATGAAAGTATTTGTAGGTTTTTACCGCTTTGCAGCAACCATTCTTACATCGCAAAGAGTGAACATTTCAGTAACCGATTTAAAACTACCAAACACAATTCAAATATTCTAAGTCTACTGCAACAATCCATCTTTCTTTAGGGTGGGTTTTCAACATACTTCTTGTTGTATTGGATGTATGAGAGTCCTTTATTTTCACTTCAGTTATCAAGAAGGAAGTTCTCTGTCACAGGAAATAACATCGTTTCGATGATTCACACTACGGACTTTTATCGAGTTCACTCGGTGGTTCACGGTCGTATGTTCGCATTACATTTTTTCATTAGTCCAGTTTAATGTTCAAATACTTGAACAATTTCAGTTGAATCATGATAGTGTCACCGAACTATTATGCTTCATATTCAAAAGTAATGAACTTTATTCATACCGTATAGCAGTCCTCAATAAAAGATTTGCAGTACAGAAGAATAAGAAACACTGTCTTATTACATTTCTTACAAAGCATATCCAATTACTTACTTTGACAGAACGCTTGATTTGTGAAACTACCTAAATTACATACCACCTAACTTCTAAAAAATTCATGTATACGTATGTCAAACGAAGCATTTCATCCAATGGACTATTTCGCTCTATTTCGTGGTCTTCGGTTTCTCGACCATGTTTTTGGGGACATGCTGGCAAATGGATTTCGGTGATATTATGATCATTGTTATAGCTGAAAAGTCATGTTATTAACATTCCAAGAACAGAAAAAACCTATCACATTATAAGGTGCAGTGTGTGATGGCTATTCACGACAACTTCGATCTCTCATCTATCACCGAAATCTTATTTCTTGACTTACCCGAGAAAAATACAGGTGTTGGACAGGATCTCGTTGGAAAAGCATATCCACTGACGAATGTCTACAATATAAAGTGAAGACTTAGGTGAGGAGTTCTACAATATTACGGCGGAAATGAAGTATCTAAAGTAAATTCACTGATTAGCGTAACTTCACTTTTTGTTTATAGAAAATTCATAACAATGTGCACAGTCACAGAGACAATCATCGAGATAACCTACCATTGGGAATCGTTCTCGAACATCTGATGGTACATTGCTCCAAAGTGTTGGTGTTCTCTGAGAATGCATTCCTATTCTAAGTAGTTCAGAATAATAAAAAACAAGTCTAATGATTAAAATCAGTTGAGTTATCAGTTATTTCGCTGGTTGCTTGTTTATTTACTGTATTTCACACGATTATGGAAAGAGTGCTGCTAGTCTGTGAATGCCACTTTGGGATGTCCAAGCAGAATAAATAGACAGAAATAAAAACAATAGACAGCTCGGTTAATGTCTGTTACCACCGACAAAGTTTTCACTAAACCAAACCAAACCGAAATATTTAAAGTCAATGATTTGAAATCATAGGCAGTAATTACTACGGTTTCCTAAGAATAAAATTGTTCCAACTAAATGAGGTCACATTGATTTTGATTTTCAGTTGCCTACTTCAGTAAACTGTATAGTTCTGTAGCCTATGAAACATTACTGTTGGAATTTTTCGAGCAGTAAATTATCTATGTGGGCGTAAGAAAGCCTTCATGAATTGTCTTTAAGATTGAGACTTAAACCAATGGTCAATAGCAGGATTATTAGCGACCTATTTTCCTTCCTTTTGAGGACTAAATGGCATATTTCAAATTCTATCGTCTCATTTTCTCACCGTTATGTTTACCAAAAACTGGATGGAAACAGACTTTAGGTAGATTAAAATCTTTCGCAAAAGTCCCGTGACTTATAAAGAAAAACTGACATTCAAAACCGCAGATGTAACTACAAATCAAAACAATCTTCGTTAGCAGAACGAAATACAATTAACTGAACTGTTTTATTGATGACAAAATTAAAACATATTGGGGTTACTAGCAACAGAAACAATAATTTACAATCAAATATTTATCTAAACACTCAATTATTCTTTGACCACATTTTAGGTACAAACATACATTGATTCTTACGAATCTAGTTCATACCTATAAATGAAGATGATTAACTTGACCATAACGAGGAACTAATGTCACTGGATTTGAATAAAAATTATTTACACAGATTCATATGCCGAAATTTGAACTCATTTTCTCACAATCACACCACAAAAACTGGGTCAAACAAATGAACATGTTTGTATTATTGTTTAAGACCGAATTAATAGTGTGATATTCTCTGTCATTGGTTATTGTTTTACTCTACTCGGTCAAACTTACATTAATGAAATTCCGCTGAACCGTTTGATGGTTAGATTAAGTGTAGAAATTCATAAACTTAAAATTCACATTTAATGAAAAGATAAGTAAAGACTTAGCACTTCAAGTAAAAACTATGAGTTATTAATTACTTGAAGATAGTTCATTCCTTGTCTTGTCTTAACTTGAATATTACAACCATTACAGCACTAGTTAAACAAAGATACGAGAATGAGTGAAATGAGTTGGATTTAATAACGTCTGTTATCAAGTTGACGAGTTTAGTGAGAAACATTGATGCCAAGTATACATACATGATTTCCAACAACTGATGCGCTGTTCACTTAGCTACTAAGTCGCGATAGTCACACACAAATTTGAAGAGAATATGAATTTTAATTTGGTTCGCAATGGCATAGTCATCTCCTTGTTGATATTCAGTCGAAATCAACAGCGGAACAGCGCTAATCGTTAAAATTTTTATTGATAAGCATTTAGATATAAATTTCTCGATAACTGATTTCCAACAACAGTACGACTAGGTTTACTATTGGTTGATCACTAGGTAGTGACCAATGTCGTGTGTCAGGTCTTGCTCGGTGCTGGTCGAATCGTATCGATGAAGTTGCGATGCGGTTAATTATCCAGGGGAACTCCTCAAGATCAAACGTACACACTGCTGATGAATGCCAGAAAGCACAAAACCTAGGTCTGGAGTTTCCTGTCGACTACCTTCAACCAGCATGTTACGTGCGACTAAATACTTAACACCGGTGTACATTTATTGCATTAGTTTGCAACTGGCAGATTGAGCACCTCTTTTGTCTAGTATTCTAATTTATAAGTGGTCCGAATTTTTTCACTAAGTGTCCGTGTTAAATTTCTCTACATAATTGTTTAGCGTGAACCAAGTGTAGAACACCTATTTAAACGTCATTTTGCTATTTTCATTCATTTATCAGAAATTGGTATACCGACCACATAGTGCGTGTTCAAACCTTTTAGTTAGAAAATAGAAAAGTCAACCAACATCTATGTGAATCATTTAACCGTATTTAGTAAAATCAAAGTCGAATCAAATTAGAAAACAAGTACGTAGCTGGGTGATTTCAGTTAGTGATGGTGATGCCTTCTTAATGACTTGTTTTCTATCGCCTTTATAAAACAGTGACTTCGTTACTTAATTTCCGATCACCTACATCTTGTAAACACTCCTTAATGACTCGAAAACATTTTATTCAGCAAGTTGATGGAATTAGTAATGATAAATATTTTACCGGAGATATATCCTCAACGTGATAATTTTTGCCATATTAAGGATGACTTGAACATAAAACTGAAGAGCTTCATTTTTTCTGTCGAAAATCTAGGTAAATACAGGCTTTTTAAATACAAATACGGAAACTTATTTATTAATAATGAAACTAACCCCTCATGTGATAGAATAGGTCGCTTATTTTCTTCAGCTTCATCAAAGTTCGAACTGAATATCTGCATTAGATTGATCTGCAGCCGTCAAAACATTTGCTACATTTAACTTACATTTTCCGTAAAATCCATAACTTTTGCGCACAGTTCATAAACTTCAGATGTTGCCTTTAGTATGTTAATCCTCAAACAAATCAAGACTCACTATAGATAATGCGTGGAACCTTTTAGTTACCTGCTCTTCATTTCTATTTAATAAGCTCTATAAGTGATTAAGCTAGATTGTTGTGAAACAAAACAAACCTCATAATCATGAATTAAATCAACAAGCCCTGCGATCTGTTCATCCCTTTTTGTTAGTTGTTTCTCCAGCTTAAATATCTGCAAGTGTAAACATATAATTCATCATTTGCGTAACTAGACTGAACGAACCGAACATTATCTGAAAATATTAACTGTTCAAAAGCGAGAAACATTATGTCGGACAAAGTGAACGTCCTCATCATCAACTTGACGAATAACAACTAGCCTCTGAATGCCATGATACATATTCGTTTAAGTCAGTGCATGTGGACACACATTTGACTAGAAAAATATTGGAATCTTAGTTGGGAGTAATACGAAGGACACCAGAGAATTTTTGAAAACTTGACATTCTAGCTTGTCGGCAATCAACAAATGCATTGAAATCGATCCGATTTGTCAACCAATCATGAAATCAAAGACAGATCTAAGATCAAGGATCAGGTCAAAGGGAGAGGAAATCAAAATGAAGATGCACACGATGATAGACTAAAGGACAACAATAGCCAACCAAGATTGTGACCGACAGCACAAGCTGTTAGTCACATGTGCAGAAATTCTAATATTTCGCTCTAACCTGACGTTGCGTATGAAACTTCACCATAACCACTAGACTGCCTCCAACCTATTCCTATGCAGGCCAACATTGAGCATGGAAGTAGAAGGTAATCAGGCGTACTTACTTACAAAAGCTCTAACACCATCAGTAGATAAACAATCAAAATTTTATCAACTGATTCGCCCCCTCTGCCTTGTACCCTGTGTTTGATCACGGAAATCAAAACAATAATGTCTTCATTCCATAGTGTATTCAAGTACTACATTGTATCCAAGCTGAATCCCAGTCAAAGTTTTTAGTGATTAGGCGCTATTATTTGTCGTCTACATAAGGAGAATGCCGAGAACACTCCAAATAAAATTAAAACCATCAAATGTAAAACGAGAGTTTCCTATACTTATTTAGCAATAATAAGCGACTCTATAATCACCACCGATTAGAAATGAATTCGCCTCAGTGGCATCTCATCCTCAGATCATAATGTGGAACCTAGCAGTTCGGGATATTTTTAAAAGCTTCTATCGAAATGACAGTCCCCTAAACTCATGTGGCGAACTACAGCTTAATAAATACTTATCGAGTAATGTCAGGCGATTGAAGGAATCACATTTTTGTACTCAGTAAAACTTTCATAACCTTTAATTCATCACAGATATAAAGCAGAAATGTACCCGTAGTCTACAGGTTTCCTTTGCTGTAATTGTTTTGCTTCTCCGGTTGTTTGAGATAAACACTAGAGTATTATGGCTTTTATGCAATATTTTTAATTAAGCGACACTTTCTGAATTCCCACGATCCAATTTTTCTCATGATTTTGAACATGTTTTGGCAAAACTTATAATAATCACATTATAACGCCATGTCTTTGTCTAATTCAGTGGTCAGGAGGTATAACATGAAAAAAGTAAACCAAAATGACCTTGTTATTTAACATTGTTTCTTTATCTTCAAACATCACTGCCTCAATTTCCGCTACGTTTGCACTAAATGAGACACGACAGTATATTGGCGAACTGAAGGTAAACCAATAAAACAGCAACAGCTCAGCGCGCTGAAGCGTGGTTGTCATGCGAACACACTGTATCACAACATTCATTATCCAATACTTTTTACGGCGAGCAAGTATAAACCAGCTCATTTTATTTCACTCGATTCTTGTTCGTTCGGACTGGCTCCAGATATTTGGTAATGTATAATGCATGTTCGTCTAGCAACTCGACCGTACTAATTCAAGTCAGGAGGCAGTTTTTTGTGAGTTTGTATGTCCATTGATTTGAAGATTTTCAATAGCTCCAGTATTTTCCACGAGCCAGTATAAAACAACATGATTAACTATCAGCTTCACAGAAGACCCGCGCCTTACGGGATAGTAAAGTTGGTTCTTGCAAGGGGTTTGTTCTTTAAGAAATTACGGATACCAAGACAAGTGCTGGTTGAATGCTGTCCAGGTGAAAAGCGTGGTAGTACAGGATATTCCTCAAAGATACGTGCGTTCTCCGATAGTGCATTCATATGTAGACAATGCGCTTGTGCGCCTAAAAGATTATATATCTACTTCCGATGTATCAGTAAAATAATTGCATCCAATTACATTCACCTTTATCTGATTTTGTAGATACAGATTTGAAAATGCACTAAAATGTACACGAGTAAACCTTACTCTCATTATGTACAGAGGATACTGTGAGAGGTAACCGTTTGATGGTTATAATTTGTTGCTGAATTTTGTATGATGTGGTGCTGTGCCAGCGGTTAGTAGGATGGATTATTGTCGTACCGTGATATCTGGTTAGTATAGAATATAAACTACAGGTTATAATTTGGGCGTTTAACTGGCACTGTTACATCCGCCAAGATGATGATGCAAGTCACCTAAATGCGAAAGCTGCTTACTTTTAGTGGCTTTGCTACGTTTAGGAGGATTGTGAAACACTTAATATATATCTTATATCAAAAATGGACTAGAGCGCGCTGTTACCCTCCTTTTATGCTCCTATCAAATTTCCCCACTATTTTTCCTGTTGATGGAGAGAGTCACATGCTGAGGATTTTCACTTTGACTTTTTTGTTTGAAATTCATTGTCCAAGCAAACCGTCTACTGTTAGAAATGGTGCTACATTGTCCAGATAAGCCGAATTCAACCTTTCGGCACGTATGACATCTGTATTTCCATGGTTTTGTTCCGCGAAATACTTAGGTTTTCTCAGGACTATCGTGTGATTTATTCTCTGTTACAGCCTAGATGCTTTAATATATCTTCGAATAACTGAGTTTCGAATCACGGTTACATTTTCGTGAATACCTTCATACATGATAATCTGTCTGTTAAATCTTAGATATGAGGTTTCAGGTCTTTGTCTGATATGGCTGTTGAATCCAAACAGAGGTTTGGATTTAAGAATAGCTGCTCAGGAAGTTTAGATACGCGTCTTGCCCAGTTTAAATCCAAAACGAGTGATCTGGGTAAGTAACGGTTCTGAATAATATTACAACTGTTACTCCTTCAGTAATAACACACTGTGTTTCCAATTCTGGAAGAATGCTCCAATTTTCAATCCAAATTGCACACTTGCAGTCTGTGTCAAGGTTTCAACCGCCAAAGGGACAAAACCAATATGGTTGTCACCATAATTAAGTATCAATTTAAACAGCGTCATGCTGTTCGGAAAGAAACATCGAAACTCGAAAAAGGCACAAAAATAGCAACTAGAATAAAATGCAAGTATTAATATGTCAAAGTGGAATTAAACATATTACCGAAATGCTGAACTGAAAGAATCGATAAAAACAGATTGCAGATGTGTACATGGAGGTATTTCCACAAACAAAGCCTTCCAAAATGGACTCACTACCGCTACGCAAAATCCCTACATCCAAGCAAAGCCATTATGGTCATAATTCAACCTATAACATAATCCACACTAAAAGAACGATTCGAACTTACGGGAATACGCCTACCAGACCTCCGACATGTACATAACCCCTCAAGCTCACCAAGTTATTCTACCTTCTCGTCAGGTTTGTCGATTAGTTTCTTGATTCCTTCGGTCTATCATAGCATGACCTAAAGGTCGTATAAAATTCATCCAATTAACCAAATAAACGCGTATGGCTCGTTCAGAAGCTGGTCCCATCCTATTCAGGATATACTCTCCACATTATGAGGAGGATGAATCGTCAGTCCATCACCATTTGCTCCAAACGGCGCACACGATGAAGTCATTGATGACTACTCATCTACAGAAATCCTTGAAGCAAAATTATTACGCAAGTGTGGAATCTTCTGTTTCGACATTCCCCCCCCTGATGACTCTTAAAGGCATGATGTAGACACACATTCCAATTCTTCACCACCTAATATAGAGGAGGTTTGTTCAGTTTGTATCGTCATCGGCACATCCTTACCCACCTTACTGACATTATGATTACCGTGATTAATATAATCATCATCATTCATATCTACTGGAAAAGTCCTGTTGTTTCTGCTAGCACTAGCAACAGTAGCGTGCGACAGTTCAATTGTTGTACAACTCATCCCACTCGATGAAAGTACAGCGCCTGTATCACGATTAGAAACCGGTATATCCACTTGTTGTTCTTCATGTTCCATTTCAGAAACACAAGTCATGTGAACATCAGTACTAACTTTATGAAGCAGCACTGTGAACTGGCGGTTACGAACAGATACTTTCTTCTCATCACCAAACTGACAGGATTCAATGACGACAGAACACTAGAATGTCCATTTGACGAATCAGACTGACTAGTCACCATAGGTGGATTGATCACACTTGCTGTTCTACTACCACCTCCGTCGCCACTGCTACGATTCGGATGACTATCATTCTCGTTACTTGTCACAGCATCCAAACGAGGACAAAGTTTACGCTTCGTAATCCGATTAGTATCATCCGCACGTCTTTCCTTCTGTTCTTACGTTGGGAAGCTGTATGTGAACGTAGTGTACGTCCACTACGATGTCGATGAGTGTCTTTCGATTTTTCTCGATTATCGTTATTATTATTTCAGCGCTATTACCATCACTCTTATTATTGTCACTATTATTAGTAGCAGAAGTATTAGTACTCTTCCCACGAAACCCATTCAACTCCTGTGTAATATCCTTCTTCACTTGACCAAAATTACTTCCATCACTACGAATACCACTACTCTCAACTGTCTTAACACTGCCGTAGTGCTCGTCCAAGGACTTGTGGTACATGTCGACCATGGTGGAGTGCGACTCGATTCTTCATGGTGGTTGTTCAACGCAATAGGATGATCAAAAATCTCAGATGAATTCTCACGGCAACCAGAATACTGATCTTGAACATTCTCAGTAATGCCAGTACTGAGACTGATGCTTCTGTCACCGTCGCCTTCATTATTCACGCTCATTCATCCAATATTGCTATGAACGGAAGTACTCGATGAAACCACACTAGTGACAGTCGGGGGGACCGCACTATTTACAGTGACTACTGTTACGGGAGAAACGAAGACATTTTGCTGATCAAAACCTTCATGTATAAATATCATTAATTTCACTGTTTTTGGGTACATTTGTTTTACTTAACTTGTGAACTTGTTTGAATTATTATTTGCGGACATTTTGGACTCCCGTTTCTCTTTGTTGTTCGTTTGCAGATTTTTACTCCAAGAGCTAATAAATTAGAAGAACGACATTGGTCGTCTATTTGTAATACAGTATTTTGGTCGAATTTGTGATTTGGAATAAACTTTGGTATCTACTTTGGAGTTTCGTTCTTGGTTTAAACATTTGGGGACTGTGAATTACAAATAGCTCGACAACCGTGCTTCGTAAGATCAACGAGCAAAAAACTGGACGTAACAACTACACCCTCTTTACCATCACGTTTGTTATACACATTTATCACACCATCAAAAGACCCATGATGTGTCACCCCGCTTTTATCGCCGAGATTATCCACACTGATATTTCCACACTCCGCAGTTGTTGACAAATTACAAGATAGTCGGCATGTATGCTTTGAGGGTAAACTAGCACTACCACTGCTACCAGTTACATTACCACAATCAACACTTATGTTGTCATGGCTACTTGGACCAGTATTCGTAGTTATACTCGAACCTAAATGCGACCGATCATCATCTCCTGACTCTGAGCAAACACCAGCTGTACTTGTTGAGCTACTATGATCTTTTACTCCACCACTATGATATTCAGTGGAACTAGGTACTGTAGTACGCATTCGTCCTGATCACGCAGCAAAATGAAGCGCTGTGTCACCGTTCATGTTTCCAATACCAGGATCGGCTATATTTCGTAGCAAATAATCTACCATACGCGGAAGGTTCCGCACACATGCTTCGTGCAATACAGTCCAACATGTTTCATCTTGTTTGTTTATGTTCACTCCCACCTTTACCATTTGTTTGATGGAATCAAAGTCCCCACTTACCAAACGAATTAAACTCAAATCTCTAACTAGTAGAGGACGTGTACCATCACGTTTGTCTGATCCTTAATGATCCCTTACCCTTTTCATTTGTTCCCTCACCGCTACCTTCGAAGTAACCTAATTGTCTTCCACAGATCCTGACTTGTCAATAGAACAAACATCAGCAAGCTCTACATCATCAGGCATAGTTCATCTGCTCCAAAACCAAAGCACAATTTTTCGTTCTTATAGCCAAATTCGATAATTGTTCTGCGCCATTACAATCAGCATATACCGGATTAAATAACTCTTCCAACGTTTCTCTGGCCATCACATGCAACTGCTCGAACAACTGTTTAAGAATTTCCTTAGCCCTCTTACAGCCAGCAGCTTCTATCATGACGCAACCCTAAATGGCTGCTCTTGCCTTAGCCTTGCAGTAGTGTATCAAATATAGCAACTGTAGGCTATCGTCATCGACTCGAGATTCGACATAAGTCTCGAACTGTCTCACTAATTTCCAATACCCTTGTGGCTGTCCATGGAAAAAACTTTACTCAACCCTCGTACTTCTAGACCTACAACTGGCGCTATAGGCGTCATAATCTTGACAGATACTTCAAGCTTCTCACTTGAAATAAGAATTTCCTTACTCTATAATAAGGGCTAACAATTAAATATACTATTTTAGTGGTGACCGAGTTGAGATTGACT